GTTGGGGAGCAGCGAGGGGCCCTCACCGGTGGAGGCATTTCGGAGAACCATGAAGAAGAAGCCCACCATGGCCAAACGGCAGTGCTTGATCTCGCGAAGCTTCATGTTGTTCCACTCCTGCAACTGAGTTGAAGACTTCATTCGCCAACATTTAAAAGAGCAGAGTGGTGCAGGGCGCCTCCGGCTGATATGCTGCAGTGAAGGTGGGCCCAAACCTCAGTCTTTTCCGTGCTCTGCTCTGGCTCTGGCTCTGCCTGCTCCGATGCAAGCAGGGAAGCGATCCTCTGAGCTGCGGGCCACTTGGGGCGTGGGCTGCTCACCGGGGCCGTCGGATTCCAGCCAAGGTCTCCAGGCTGGACGCCCTGAGAATACTTGCTGATGACCTGCATGCGCAGGCGCATTTCCATCTTCCGGCCAGAAAATTTTTCGGTCGCGACACGCAGCCACGCAGCCGAGGCTGGGACGTTCTCGTATCGCCAGAGCTCCGACAGGGCAATCACGACAATGATCTGAAGCCAGCCAACGATGGGCACCTCACACATCCGAGGTGAGGCTCTAGACTCTAGACGACTCCAACCTCAAGTCCTGCAGAAGCACCATCCCCAAAACCTCCGACCCATGCGTCATGCGTGGATGCGGAGGGCACCTGCGTGGCCGCCTTCAGGGGGTCCGCGGAGTCCGTCGGGTATCGGGTGATGAAGGGCTCGAACTTGGCCCCGGAAGTCTGTACCTTGCGCATGCTGCGGTTCATGTGGGGTTAAGCGCTCGAGCGTGAGGACGTGCTCTCAACTTCACTTACAGCAGCTAGGGTGCGGTGTAGCCCAGCACTGCCAGCATGCACACGCGGCCATGAGCAAGCTCGGCTTCACGGTACCAGGGCAGCAGGCGCTGGTTCTTGGCAAAGCCTGCAGGGTCGAAGCCAACATCGCCCACGTAGGTGCTGTTGAAGATGTCGTTGCTGAGGCCCTCTGGGATGGGATCCCAAGGGATAGCCGTGGACTTACCGGCGCCAGAGCCGAACTCGGCTCGCAAAGCCAAGCGATCAGAAGCATCAAGCTGAGCATAGCCACCCACGAAGGGGTTCAGGTTCCCGGTGGTAAACTGCTCGACCAAGGACTGGCCTGTGGCGCCATTCTGTGCCACGATGGCAGCCATCGCAACCATAGCCAGGCGACCATTGTTGATCTCCGCAAGCAGCTTCTTCTGCTTCTCCTCCGGCTCAAGAGTGTTGATCCGCCCCCAGAAAGGAGGATAGCCATAGTTCTCAGGGAAGGCCTGGTTCTTGGCCTCGATGGCTCCGGCGAGAGCAAAGATCTGCAACCAGCCGAAGGTCGGAACCTTGTAGATGGCCTCAATCGTGCAAGGAATGTCGGAGAACTTCAAGTCCATGCTGGGCGCTAGGTAGCCACCGAAGCGGCCGAAGAGGTCAGGCACGATCATCCCGATCGTGGCAACCATGCAGATCCGTCCGTGTTTCAGCTCCAGTTCACGATTCCGGCGGAACTTCTCCTCATCCTGGAAGGCCATCATGCCGAATGGGTCCCAGTAGCCAAGAGGAGGGCAAGCACCAAGCTCCGCGGAAGGGTCAAAAGCGAAGAAGCCCTGACCATCGTTGAAGGGCGAAAAGTGGCCGGCAGTGAGCTGCTCGATCGGGGACTGTCCAGTGAGGCCGTTCTGAATCAGCATGCCAGACATGGCGATCATTGCCAGCCTTCCGT